ATTCATTTCCTATGACACGTGTTGCAGACATTCTTTGCCATCCATCTTCTAGCAGGATGGTCAACTAGATGGTCAAATTTTGACCCAAGATACAAGGAGGCCTCATAAAACTGAACGGAAGGAGTAATAGCTCAGTTATTTATATTGCGCTTGATCAATAGCTGGAGGTTCTCAGTTTGATCCAACATCGATTTAGATATTTCTTCTCACAAAGTAGAGTGTTATGACCTAGGGATCAAAGGTGTTTCTTAGATTTACCAACATTGTCACTTGCCACCAATTCTTCTATGGGTGTTTCGTGTGGTACATGAGACCTCGGGGGGTTGACTGGGTTATGGGTTGTTTCTCTGGGTTTTTTTTCTGTGCACCCAAGTATTGATATATGTTCATGTACCTATATATTACATGTGCCCATATTTTTTGTTGTTGGCAAAACTCATTCTTTTACTTCCTTAAATCATGTACTAGGTACATGCATCTAGCCGGTGAAAGTTGACTGGTGCAATTGTAGGTCCACTATTCGGTGAAATCAACGAGGCAAAAGATGCATTGCACGTGATCCGTGCACTCTCCCTCTATGTGCGGCACAGAGGTCTTGGCCTGGACCCCACCTCCCCGTCACCTCTTCATTCATTTCCTATGACACGTGTTTCAGACATTCTTTGCCATCCATCTTCTAGTAGTAGCAAAAAGCACGCCTAACAGGGGTGGGGGCCACTGTTTAGTGAAACTGACGAGGCAAAAGATGCATTGCACGCGATCCGTGCACTCTCCCTCTATGTGCAGCGCAGAGGTCTTGGCCTGGACCCCCCCCCCCACCGGTCGCCTCTCCATTCATTTCCTACGACAGGTGTTTAAGGCATTCTTTGCCATCCATCTTCTAGCAGTAGCACAAACACGCCTAATAGGGGTGGGGTCTGCTGTTTAGTGAAATCAACGAGCCAAAAGATGCATGGCACGCGATCTGTGCACTGTCCCTCTATGTGCGACGCAGAGGTCCTGGCCCGGACCCCACCTCCCCATCGCATCTCCATTCATTTCCTATGACACGTGTTTAAGGCATTCTTTGCCATCCATGTTCTAGCAGTAGCAAAAACACGCCTAATAGGGGCGGGGTCCACTGTTTAGTGAAATCAATGAGCCAAAAGATGCATGGAACGCGATCCGTGCACTCTCCCTCTATGTGTGGCGCAAAGGTCTTGGCCTGGACCCCACCTCCCCGTCGCCTCTCCATTCATTTCCTATGACACGTGTTTCGGGCATTCTTTGTCATCCATCTTCGAGCAGTAGCAAAAACAAGCCTAACAGGGGTGGGTGTCCATTGTTTAGTGAAATCAACGAGCCAAAAGATGCATGGCACGCGATCCGTGCACTCTCCCTCTATGTGCGGCACAGAGGTCTTGGCCTAGACCCCACCTCCCCGTCGCCTCTCCATTCATTTCCTATGACACGTGTTTCGGGCATTATTTGTCATCCATCTTCTATCAGTTGCAAAAGCACGCCAGACAGGGGTGGGATGTTGTGCTTCTTCGTCTCGGTTTGCGTTTGTCGGCACCCTAGCACAGGCCACTCTCTTTTGTATCAAAAAATCACCACTTCCTCGCGGGGCTACGTCGAGGCACCCATTTCAAGCGTGTGAGTTCTTGGCAAAGGAAATGCGCCTATTTTTTTGTCTTCTGAAAATGACACACTAGAGTAGTTCTGTTTCAATTAAACGGAAATGTGGGATTTCTCTCCGAAATGAAATCAAATGAGATGTGGGTTTGAGGAACAAAAATAGAGAGGGCGCCCATAAGGGGAATGAAGGGGGAGAAAAAGGAACAGTATAAAAGGCTGCACATAGCTGTCACCCCACCCTAACCGTCTCTTCCAGCGCACAACCCCTTGCGCCTGCCTGTCTCGCCTCCCTCCCCACGGAACCCCCTCCCCCTCTTCCTTCTCCCCATCTCCACCGGCCACCCCAATTGCAACTGCCGCCTCATCAGAATCCCCCTCCACCGCTTCTGATCATTAAGCCAGCACATCACAGCGAGCTCGGTTTATATATGGCAGCGCGCTCCGCCACTGCCTAGGCTGCCACACACAGCACAGCAAGAGCGCGCGCACTGAGGGCGGCTGCGGCAGCGCGCCGGAATCAACCAACCAACCAGTTCGACCGTAGCGCGCAAGGTAGTTCACCAGGGGATAGCAAGATCGTCGGTCGGCACTCCACGCCGGCAAGCCTCCTTCTTGCGACGACTCGGAGCAGGGCGGGCGGGCGTGATGGCGGCGTCGTCGTCGACGGCGTCCTCGTACCGGTCGCGGTTCGGTGACACGACGGAGACGAAGGTGTTCGTGGGCGGGCTGGCGTGGGAGACCCCGTCGGAGGGCCTCCGGCAGCACTTCGAGCAGTACGGCGACATCCTGGAGGCCGTCGTCATCACGGACCGCCTCACCGGCCGCTCCAAGGGCTACGGATTCGTAAGCCGCGCGCTCCCCCTCCTCCTCCTTCCCCGGCCTGTCCGCGCGCGCGCGCGCGTGCGGCATGCTGCCGTAAAAATTCTTGCTCCCCTCGCGGCTAACGAGATCGATGGACGGACGCATGGCGCAACAGGTGACGTTCCGGGAGGCGGAGGCGGCGCGGCGGGCGGTGCAGGACCCGAACCCGATGATCACCGGGCGGCGCGCCAACTGCAACATTGCCTCGCTGGGCCCGCCGCGGCCCGCGCATCCTCGAGGTGAGTGATCCATCGATCCATCCATCCATCGGCCATCACAAGGAGAAGGGAAACCAATAATAATCTTACTAAACAAGAACAAATTTTGTCTCCTTCCTTATTACCGCCACCACCCAAATTCCCCCCTCCCACGAACACGTAGGCAGAAGCGCATTTCCCGTCCGGAAAATCAAACCGGAGCCGCGCCAACCAACCCAAAGCCACTGTTCCTCCGGTGCGCGCCAAATGGAGGCGATCCGGAGGAGGCCGCGGCGGATCTCACCCCGTCCGGCCGGGGTAGTGCCGTCCGTCTGCCATAGTGCCATGCCAGCGCACGGGAGCCAGGCAGGCGCTGGTGTGGGTGTGGTGGCGGGCACGCACGGCGCGAGGGGAGGGAGGGAGGGTCGTATGGCCGGGCCGGGCTTGACCAGGCTGGCCTGTCAGTTCGTCGCGCTGCCGCCTCGGTGCGTCCTCCTGCCCGTGCCTGCCCCACCCCACCACCACGTCCACGCGTGGCTATATACGCGCACACAAGTTTTAGCCACAGCTAATCCAGCCGTATTTGCTCGCTCCATTCTTTATTGGCGTACTAGAGACCAACTGGCAGTTATCAAATTTAGAATCGGCAGTTATGGTATGTGATCCATCCATCCGTCCATCCATCGGTTGCGTGGGGCTTAATCAAGAAAATTACCTCAGAGAACAGGGATGCTAGTACCTTGATCAAATTAACCATGTTTCCACTTAATCAGATTCCTTAATGATCACGTTAATGTAGTACTGGTAGTAGCAGCAGTAGCTTCTTATCTTGTGTGGCAAAAACGAATAGAGTATAGGCCTCCTTTGGTTTATAGGATTTTTATAGGAATTTTGTAGGATAGGATATTTGTAGGAAATAATCCTTTGGAGGCCTTTGGTTCACAGGAATGCCATCCTATTCCTGTACAGGATTTCTTCCTTTCCTTCACGTTTTGCAGGAACAGAAAAAAGAGGTCCAACCTAATGGAAAACTTTCTGGCGCGAACGACGCGCGCGGCGGCAACTGTTCCCTCCCTTTTTTTCGCTCGGCCGCTTCACTCACCTGCGCACAAATAGAGAGAGGGAGGGGAAAAGAAGCAAAATCGACATGTCCAGCCGCCCCTCCTCTCCTCACACAGAGCGGCGCAGCTCCAACCTTGAAGATCGACCGGCAGGGAGGACGGCGGCAGACGGCCGCGCGACGCGACCACATCCAGGCGGCGGGCAGGAACCACCGGCAAGCTGGAGCATCTACCGTCGACCAGCTAGCCACCAAGCCCCAGCGGCATCCATCTGCCGCAAGTCTCTTCAGGTACGATTCTATCTTTCCCTCTCTATTGATTTTCAGATCTGGTGCTAATTAATGGAGAAATAGCCCTGTCCATCTTGCCGGTGTGAGATGCCCCTAGAAATCCCCCGTATCATGAGTCTCTAGTCCAGCCCAATCCCAAGATTTTTTAGGAAAGGGCCCAACAAAAATTAGACGCACAGTCCTAATCTAATTGCTCAGTTTGCTAGCTTTTAGAGTCCTAATCTAATAGCACAGATGTATAGCTGGTGCCGTCCATCACGGGAGCCGTTCTTGTGTTCCCTACTTGTACTCTTGTAACTCTGACCAGGCAATACAATTGATTGTGGCTTGACTCATCTCTCAGCTCTCACTAGTCCCATTATATGTCTTATTAAAACGTAATTTCTTTTATTACATAACAGTACATATTTTACTATCTCACTAGTCCCACTAATAATACGATTCAGTTTCTTCAGATGGATGATCAAGGCAGGATGATAGACTTTGGTATTCAAGGCCATGAGTTCAGTCAAAGGACTACAATACCTTGTCCAAATATTGGTCACCATCAGGACAATGGTACAATTTCTCTTATTCTTATTCAATTTAATATGGTAAAATTTAATCATGGAAACACAATTGCATAATGTTCAATATATTCAAGGACTTGATGACCTGGAGTTTACTCAAGGAGCTACAGGACACCAAACAAATATTGGTCAGGACAATTGTATTGATTCTCTTATTCTTGGTTAAGTTAATTTGGTGAAATTAATACGGAAGCACAATAGCATAATATTTTGTGTATTTCAGGACTTGATGACTTGGAGTTCAGTCAAAGGATCATAGGACGCCGTCCTAATTTTGGTACGCTGCAGCGTTGTGATGACCTCGACTTTGACCAAAGGAGTGCAAGGCAGCATGAGGATAGTGGTACAAAATCTCTTAATCTCAGTCTTGTTAATGTGGTGAATTACTGAAATTTAATCATGGAAGCACAATTGCATATTATGTAATATAGCTCTTTGCTTTGCAGTTTCAAAGTCCAAAAAGAGTCTTCCTAGAGCCAAGTGGAGTCACCAAATGAAGCTATATCTTATTCAACAGCTGAAAGATTTTAATGTCCCAGGTTATAGAACTCAGAATGCATGGAGTAAAGAGGCATGGAATAAGATTGTGGATAACATAAACAAAAAGTTTGGCTTGTCACTAGATGTTAAAAAAGTGAAACAAAAGGAACAGGATCTGAAGAAAGACTTCCGCACTGTGAAAGAGTTGGCAGCTGAGAGTGGCTTTGGTTGGGACCGTATCGGAATGAAAGTTGTTGCCCCAGATGCCGTTTGGGAATCATTTGCGGAGCGTCGTAACACGGATGCACTCATATGGAGAGACAAACACTTTCCATATTATGATGATTTATTTGCATTGTATGAAGGTAAGCTATAACATTGTATGGAGAGACAAACACTTTCTGTGTTGTAAGCATGTTCTCACTAGTTTTTAATTATCTCTAGGACGGTATGCTGAAGGAAGGAATAGGCGTGGCATGGACTATTATGCAGATAGGGATAAAGAACCATCACAAACCAAATTTGCAGAATCACAAGGGACCAATGATTATGATGGATCACCCTCACCTAATATAAATGCTGCTGATTTTCCCATTGAAGAAGAAGGTGAGAAAGACACTTCTGATTTTCCCCAGCAGCAATGCCCATCAAGGCGCTCCACACAAATGAATTCTCAGTTTGTGAAAACACCGGAAATGTGTGGAGCAAGACCCACAAAGAGGCAGAAAAATAGTGATTTTCAAGAGAAGTACTTGAAGCTCAAGAAAGAAGAAATTGAACGGTTTGCAGCTATTGAGGAGAAGAAGCTTGAGGATCCCTATAGCATCAGTAGGTGTGTCACAACACTTGAACGTCTACCTGGTCTACAAATGGCTGATATGGTGATGGCTGCTGATATCTTCAAAAGCAAGGAGAATAGAGAGCTTTTCCTATCGTTTTCTACGGATGAACCAAGGTTAGCCTGGCTCAAAAGGCAGATTGGGCATATCTAAACATATTACTTGCAGGCTGCTAGGTAGTATTTTGGCATAGCACTTAAGATGTGTGGAGTCTTTTGTTGGACGCAAACAAAGTGTGTGGCTAGCTAGGTTGTATTTTGGTAGAATTACTTGAAGTAGAAAGCTGAACTAGGGAGTAGAAGTACGTGGCTGGGTAATATTTTGGTAGAACTACTTGCTGCAGAAAATGAAAGAGCAAGCATGTAGTAGTTGCAGAAAACGAACATGGCATCTAGTACTTTGCTTTAATGAATATTACAATTTCGACATGCCATAATCTTGGTTTGCAGTACATTTTTTTGCCATACATTTGTTTGCGGTACACGTTACAATGCATATATCAAGCTCTTCTTGCAATATAGTCCTCCCACAGTTTATCTGCTATATAATCCCGTAGGTGGTTTCCTGCTTCTCTTGTGTTATTGAATGCTCCAACATCACTAGTGTAGTTTTCATCTCCCGTGGGCACGTCCACAATTAGATGTGGGTCAATATCTGGAGTGTCATTGTTGAGCCATGAGACATCTCCATCATGAAGCCGAATGAAATTATGTAGGACACAACATGCCATTGATATGTCAACTTGTTTGCCGGGGGAATAGTGTGTAGCAACTTTCAGAACTGGAAATCTCTTTTTCACTATGCCAATAATTCTCTCTATATGATTCCGTAATTGTGCATGGCGAAGGTTGAATAGTTCTCTACGATTCCGCGGCCTTTGACGTACTTGTGCTTGTTCTTGCAAATGGTATCTAGTTCCACGGTATGGGGCAAGAAACTGTGGTGTGTTTGCATAGCCCGCATCTACAAGATAATATTTACCATGAGGTACCTGAAATCCATGGTTAAGTGCATCTTGGAGAACCCTTGCATCCGAGGCTGATCCTTCCCAGCCAGGATGCACATGCACAAACCTCAAATCAAAGTCACATGCAACCATAACATTTTGTGTGATTGTTTGCTTTCTGTTTCGATATGGCTCTTGTTCATGTGGTGAGATAGTCATTGGAATATGTGTACCATCAATAGCACCAATGCAATCCTGTATTCATATTATATCATGAGATATTATTTTGAATAAAACTTCAAACAACCATATTACATTTACCAATACAAAGTCAGAAATATATGAAAATGTATGCTTACATTGAAGTACGGATGGAAATGTGATCTCCTCAAGACTGGATGTGGTCGAAGAGAAGGTGGGCGTATATAGATGCTTGCAAGCTTTGTAATTGCCTCTAGTACATCTCCAAAGTGTCGACTGATGGTTTGCCCACTATGCTGGAACCTATCCTGCAAGGTTTCATTACTAGCATTTTTTGCAACTGCATATAAAAATATGGCAACCTTTTCTTCCAAGGAGACTATTGTAGAATCTTCAAGTATTTCATTCTCACGCAGCTTCTCAACTAGAGCATGAAAGATGTAAGCCTCCATTCTGAAATGCCTTCTGCATAAGCTTTCATGCCCATTTAAGATTTCCTGGACATAAGCAGCTCCTGTAAGACTAGATGTATGCATTGGTTTTTTCTCCCTTCCTTCTTCCATGGTAGGGAAGACAAATAACATGAATTCATCCTCCATCTGTGACCTCCTGTGATAGCTTGGATCCATTGAAATGTGTGTAAATCAGCAAGAAATGCTGAAAATATTTGTATGTTCTATCAGTGAGATGTGGATCAGCAAAGAAAATATGGAGCTAAATCATATTGTCAATGCATATGTACTAACCTGTTGTTTATGTTATCCTGGTTGTTGTTGACGACCATGCTAGAAGCTGCTGGAGGGGTTCCTTCTTTGGTTAGCTAACCATAAACTGAAGATGAGATTTGTGTGTATTCTGAAGATGAGATGTGTGTGTTTTGATCTCCACAACAAGATGATATATAGGGAGAGAAAGCTAGTACAGCCATGTAACGGCTAGTTGCTTGAGAGCAACTAACGGCTAGTTGCTTTAAATTAAAATATTATTTCTTTATGTTTCCTATGTGTGTTCCTATCCTGTGAACCAAAGGGCATTTAATTTCCTATTCCTATGATCTGAGCAGCCATAGGATTGGAAATGCATACACCTCATTTCCTATACTTTTTCTATTCCTATAAAATTCCCATCCTCTGAACCAAAGGAGGCCTAAGCAGGTGAGAGAGGGGGGCTGCTTGCTTTGACTGGATGTGGCGTGGTCGGTTGCGGCATGGCATGGCAGCAGGGATGTGGTGTAAAGGACAAGATAACTGTCGGGTGGAGTGGAGAGGAGGATCGATCAGGCGCCCCGCTTTCCAGCGGTAAAAACAGGATCCAGGAAGCAACCCATACAAAATGCTTCGACGCATATACCCTTTGACCGGTCTATTAGCGCCCCTGCTTACCTCGTCATTACTACTTCTACTACTACTAGGAGTGAGTATCTTGTTTCCTCAGGAAAAAACAGTAGTTTAGCACCAAGAGGGCCACGACGCCAACCAGAATTTGATGCTCCTGTGTGTAGGCTGTACTGAGCGGCGACCAATATTTTTCTCCGGGAAGGCAACAGTTACGTAGCTAGCAGCAGTGGTACTCGCCTGCCAGAACCGGCCGGTCAAAGCGTCAACACGCCGCGCACATGGCGAGGCCCTTTCCCGGCCCTCCGCCGCAGATCGACCGATCGGTCGACCGAAGCCGGCAGTTTTTATTTCAGTTTTCGTAGCGTTTTGCGCGCCGGAAACGTACCGGTTGTACATGCAGAGCGGCAGACATGCACACGCCTGCCGCGCACGTACCGCTTCATTTAGTACTTGCTTGGTGTTGTTGCTTTCGCGCCCCCTCTCTGCCGCTCTGCGGCGCATAACATGGCGGCGAAATGGTTTCATCCTGGTTTCATCCTATTTATTTACTTTTTTTTTGAGACATTCCTATTTACTGACGCTGTAAATACTACTAACATGATGAATGGATGAATGCAGGGAGGCCGTCGGCCGTGCCCTACTGGCAGCAGGGCCCGCCGGCGCCGGTGCCGCCGCAGGGCCCGCAGTACTACATCCCCAGCCCGAGGGCTCCTCCGCAGCAGCAGCAGCAGATGGGCCTGATGCCCAGCCCTGGCCCGGCGATGTACCACCAGCCGCCCCCTTCGCAGCCATGGTAAGCCCTGCCTTCTCCCTGCAAATTCCACATGGCTACACCTACGAGCATGCATGGGTGATACTAGTAGCTGAGAGAGGTCGTGGTCAGTTTGGGTGGGCGGTGGAGGGAAGGGAGGCGGGAGGCTGACCGGAGCGGGCCGGCGACGGTCCCCCAGCCCTTTCTCGTGCTGGCGCGGGTCTCTTTCGCCATGCAGGGTGTTGCCTCGCCTGCCAACATTTTCTGCGCATGTTGGTTATCTTGCCGCAGGGTTTTTAATGCGTCCACCGTGCACCATTGCCATTCCTGGTTTTTACAGGTGTTTGTGGCAGTCATCAGTTTTCTCTGTTGATGAAATTTTCCTTGAGAAAGGGAGGAGAAACCTGGGCAGTTTTATTCATTTAGTGGTAAAAGTTACTCTCTCCGTTCACATTTGTAAGACCGTTTAGACATTTACTCTCTCCGTTCACAACTCATCTAAAATTTCGGCTGTCTAAAACGTGTTATGAAAGTGAACATAGGGAGTAGAAAAAAGGGAGAGAAGCTTTTTTCTAGTCATGAACAGGATGGTCCTAGCCAGTTGTGGGCTAGGTGAGTTGTGGGCTAGGTAGGTCAATGATCTAGATTCTGGACTTTACAGCCTTGGTAATGGATAAGTAGGCCTCTTATAACTACCCAGGGGGGCCAGCCCCAAGCTTTTCTCTTTTCCCCCGGATCATATCACTCGCTGAAGAAGCTTTGCCATGTCTTTTGCTTGCAGGTACTGGGGCCCACCCGACTATCAATACCCACAGGTAAGCATGTCCCCCTGCTCTGCCTTGCTGTGCCCCCTCAACGCCCACCTTCTTTGCTTCAGTGCCTTTTATCACATGCAGTGCAGCACACACTCGCCAGCCCAGCCCAGTGCATGCCACTCGCGCGCGCGCTACCCAGGCACGCCACATGCCCCGCGAGCGCTTCCTCCGCTGCGCTGCCGCTGTCCCTGGCTACGTAAAACGCGCAGCTCAGTCATGATTTGCTGCTACAGAAACATTCCAAGATCGGCACGTCCGAGTACCTGATAAGATTAGTTGCACCGTTAGGATTTGGAAACACTTTGAACCATCGATCGGCCATTCATTTCCGAATGATCGGTGCTGATTGTTCGGACACTGACTGACACACTGATGATGTTCAAGTGTCCAGTTGTGGCCATGTTTATTCCTACGCTTGTATGATAACCCATGAGCGATGTGCAGGCCATGATGACCCCTCAAATGGTGCAGAACTACTATGCTCAGCTGTATGCGGCTGGGCTGGCGTCGCCGACAGGGCCACCGCCCTACCATCAGTACGTGGGGTACATGCAGATGCAGGCCCCGACGCCGAGGGCAGCGGTGCTCTCGCCGGTGGCGCAGCAGATCGCGGCGGGGCAGCCGTACGCGCCGCACCCGGCGGCGGCGCAGATGCAGGGCTTCTCCATGCAGGTGCCTTCTCTCCCGCACAACTTCGCGCTGCAGCTGCCCTCCCATGCAGTGTCGATGCTGCCTCCCAACGCAACCGGTATGTCGAGGACCGAGTTTCTTTCGGTTTTTGCACTGAGCTTACAGGGAATTCGAAGGTGTTTTCACGTCAGAAGTAGTGATGTTTTGATGTCGCGTGCAGATATGCAGCCGGCTGGTGGCCAGGCGTCCTCCTCTGCAGCCGCGGTGACGAACGCGAACAACACTCACCAGGGTGCCTGATGGAAGGCTGGGGGAGGAGATTCTGATTGGTTCCAAACACCTTCAAAACTGACTGTTTTTCTGATTTAAAGTTGTTGTTCCCATCTCGACGGATCTGGTGCGGACGAAGTTATTAATGGTCTGTAACAGTCTCTCAGGATGCTTTGACTAGAAAAGACAAACCATAAACATCTCCTCTTTTCTTTGTTCGGGATTCATTTTCTTAAGTTCTGGCAAATATTCGCAAAAAATATGAGATCTTCTCCTATTGTTAGCGTAAACAAGTTTCCTTTTTGAGCGGAGAGGAAGCAAGTTTCATTTGCATATTCTTTGGGGTAGAAGCAGCATGTTTGCTTGAAGCAACGGCTTCAATAGTCAATAGTTCTTACAAAATTAAGCTCACGGGCCGAAAGACGATCTATGTCTCGCTTTTAGCGAGTTGTACCAGGCATCGATCGCGCTGGGCCAGCACATCAACTGTGCGTGCTGATATTTACGTGCTTGTGTGTTCACCATGAGACCTATATCTCGCTCTTTGCGAGACGGTAGCTCGTCTTGCCCATGTCGCAGTAGATAGCCATGTGTGTTCCTATGATTTTTTCTGCGAGCGGGTTATAGGAAGCTTCTATGGACCAGTGTTAGAAGCATTCGTGCAGTTTTCTTCCTTCGTGTTTTCTGTATCTGTTTTTATTTTTATTTTCCTTTGCCTTTTTCCTTAATTCTATTTTCTCCTTTTTTTCTAATACATGTGTACTTTTTTTCCAAATACACGTTCAACATTTTCGTATATAGGTTGAACCTATTTTAGATACAGGTTAACCATTTCTCAGCGACACGTTGAACATTTTCTAGAACTACACAATGAATATTTGTCAAATTTACATTTAACTTATTTTTAACACACATGGACATTTTTCATAAATGTCATGAGCATTTTATTTACAAAACATGCAAAACATTTGATATGCGTTAATTTGTTTTTTAAAATGTCATGAACATGTTCTTAAAATTCTGTGAGCCTATTGTTTACATTGTTAAATATTTTGTTAAAGTGTCATGAACACAATTTTGAACACATATACAATTTTAAAGGGTACTCTCTCCATTCTGAATTACTCGTCGCAGAAATGAATGTATGTAGATGTATTTTAGTTCTAGATACATCCATTTCTGCGACGAGTAATTTGGAACGGAGGGAGTACAAAACATTATTAAGAATTCATGAATATATTTTTGCATTGTACAAAGATTTTTAATGTTACATGCATATTTTTAAATGTGTTAATCCTTTTTAAATGCCACAAACATTTTTTTGAATGGTACAAACATTCTTTTTAAATTGCACGAAAGAGTTTTCTACACCGCGCTAACATTATTTAATGCATGATGAACACTTTTAAAATTGATGTGATTAATTTTTACAATATTTCAAAAATATAAACTGAAGAAAAAAGATAACATAAGGACAAAAAGTATGAATCAAACGTAAGAATTGGGTCGGCTAACTAGCAGCTTCCTTGAGGCAACACAACCATTTTTCTCACTACAAGCGAGACATAGGCTCCATGGGCTAAATGGATATGTGCGCTCTATGTAGCAATCTTTCGTTGTGCGCTCATGTTGCTACAAGAAAGTACTCCCTCCGTTCCAAATTACTCGTCGCAGAAATGGATGTATCTAGAATTAAAATACATCTAGATACATCCATACCTACGACAAGTAATTCGGAACGGAGGGAGTAGCAGTTAGCGCTATCTTTAGCTAAAACACTGTTGGTGCTATCTGTGTGGAAGTTAATACTAAAAAAAAGTCACCTGTGTATTTTTCTCTTCTTTAGAGAGGGGAATATAAAAAAATTATTACTTCCAAAAAACACATAGACTACGTAAACTATTCATTCGCTTGAGCGAAAACCATATGGAAAAACATTACCTACATAAAAAATGTTAAAGAGTTGCAAAATAATGTTCATGTAATTTCAAAAGGTGTTAACCTATTTTATAGAAAAAGTTCACAATTTTTAAAATATTATCCTTTAAAAAATGCTCATGTGGTTTTAGAAAAAAGTTCATTGGGAATTTAAAGAAATGTTCATCGTGTGTTTATTTTGAAGAATGGTCATCATTTTTTTTATCTTGTAGTAAAAGATGTTCATTGTGTGTTTAAAATAATGTTCATCAAGTAATTCAAAAAATGTACATTAAGTAATTTTAGAAAAAAAATCATAGTGCAATAACATGTAATCGGAAAAGTACTCATCATGTAATCCAAAAATGTTCACTGTCTATTAAAATTTATTCCTCTTGCGATTTGAATAAATGTTCATTGTGCATCTGTTCGTATGTGTTTCAATAAATGTTCATCAAGTATTAGAAAACATTTGTTATGTATTAAATGTTCATCGTGTATTAAGAAATGTTCATGTATCAAAAATATTCCTAACAAAGAAATGGGAAAATGAAAAATCAAATAATATAACGAAAAAGAAATGTGATTTTTTTAATAATGAAAAGAAAAGGAATGTATTTTTAAAATACCTTTTGAACATTAAAAAACAGAATGAACATTTTGAGTGCATGATGAACATTTTAAGGACCTTCGTTTCCGGTTGCTCCATGTTGTTTCCTTTGATTTCCATGTTCCATGATATTATTCTATGTTGGCCATTTGATTTGTAGGGTTAAATTTAACATGAATTTCCCTCCTAAGAAATCATTGGTACTACATTTCATGGAAAATCATTTATCCACTCGGACCTCTTGGGAAATTTTCTGAGAATGCACAGCCTTACTAATATCGCCAAAAATCTGCCATTGTAGTGTGTCCTTATGATGCAGAAGGGGCATCATGGAATTCATAACGCAGAGGGGGAGGGGAAGTACCTAGGTTTGGTCGTTCATGGTCTAGAGACCCCGGTGTAATTCTTATTGTTGTTGAGATGTTCTGTAAGATCTATTTTTGTAATATATCCAAATCTTTTTCACGATGTCCGGATCATGAAAGTCATCTAACACGGTCATGTATCGGTCCGCAGGGCGATCCAAACGTAATTTTTCCCGCAATCCGGAGACAAACATAGAGAGAGGCTTTGCGGAAGTCCGGATCGATCCTACGCCCACTTCTGACACCCCTAAAGCCCCCTCCCTCCCGTGTGTTTTCGGCCAGCACCGCTCCAGAGCGTCAACGCCCACATTCATGCCCTGCCAGAGCGGATGCGACCGGTCACTGGCGCTGGCATTGAAGCGGCGCATTGGCCGAGAGAGCGCCTCCCGCGTGGCTTCCCAGTGCAGGCGACTACCGCGCGTTCAAACGACACGACGGCCGCCAGTCTATCCGTCTGCCGCTCACATTGATGGCACGCGGTTGTCGAGGCGTCCCCTCTCGCACCACCCGTCCGTTCTTCTGCCGCCCACCATTGGTATAAAATCGATGCCAGCCGTAGTCGCAGTCATCCACCACTGATCCCTTTTCGCATCACTCCCACCATGGATTCTCCCCCGCCAAAGCTCTCAGGGACGGGCTGACATAGGACCAGAAGAAGGAGATGGACACCATTGTTGTCGGCTGGTTGGCTGGCAGCCAGCCGGAGAACGACGACGTCCCAATGGAGGATGCCGCCGACGACGAACCGACATCACCCTCGCCGGTGCATTACACCATGATCATCGGCGAGACCCATGCCCATTACATGGACATGGTGCAGGAGGATTGGGTGGAGCAGGTCTAGGAGGTGTAGGCCGACACCGCCTGCAATCACGACCTCTTGCAGGAGCACGTGCAAGTGGAGGAGTAGCTTGCCGCCGGCAGGGCTAGCGCGCCGGACTCGGAGCTGGCGGAGCAGGAGGCGCTGCTCGATTCCTACCGCTCCGCTCGCAAGATCCGCCTCGCCCGCTGGCGGCCGCCTACAAGGAGAGCGACGACGCGGGCAAGGCGGTGTTCGATGAGACCCGCGACGAGGAGGAGGTCATCGCCGAGTTCGCGCCCCACCGCGACGACCACGAAGTCGACACGTCTGCGGGCGTCGCTGCGAGTGTGGAAGAGTAGTGCACAGTAGGTCGCCGCCGCTCATGTCCTAGGAAGGCTATCGCTCCTTCCCTCCTGACGCCAAGCCTGGTAGGCTCAACATCTTCGGCCGATTAGTCGCTTGGCGGCGATGTGGAGGGATATAGCTTCACTTCCCGGACCTCGGGAGGCGGAGGTTACGGAGGCGAAGTTGGAGAGCTCCCAGGCGGAACTGCAGACGGTGAAGCCTCAGTTCTCGGGGTTCATAGTCGGACACGGTAACGGGCGCCGACGACCATTGAGACCTAGCCGGACGAGTTCCATTTAGTTGATGTAAATGTAATGAAATTCATCATGTTTATATAAAACCCGTCCGTGTTTAAACGATGCGGGAGGAAATTTGCGGGTTGGCGTCGAAGATGCCCTAAAGGGTAGCGAGACAAACATAAAAAGATGTTCAACAGCGGCACAGCTGCCAGAGGCATGGCAATACTAATGCGTTTTCACCATCCTTGTCAACATGAGTGCACCGGACACGTTTTCCTTGCGCGCGTTGCACTTCCATTACGGAGCGCACAAGCGGCATTCCCCGTTGGCGCCCCGGACCAAAGCGTCCCCGTTGACGAGGAGTGGCTTCGTGACGTGGCCGCCGTGCGAGACGACAGCCGACACATTTTCCCGCCGCCGGTTAAGGACTTCGCTTCGGTTAAACAACCGGAGTACTAGTGCTAGTATGTTGCTTCTTTTTCTTCAGAACGGGTATGCTGCTTTCGGACCGGCCAAAACCATGAGCCGGGAGGTGCTGGAATTTTCGAAAAGAGAAAAGCCGGGAGGTGTTGTAAATGGTTCACATGGACCCGCTCGGCCGGCGGCTGGCGCGCCAAGTCAAAAACGATCTTGTCGTTCGTCGTGGGGCGTTGGAAGCGCACGCACGCACCGGTCAGTTCGGGCCTCATATGATTGGTCCGAATCCGATCATGCAGAATAAAGTTGTACAAGGGTTTTGCCACGTTTATTGGCATGTCAGTCTCAAGCGCACGTCGAACCTGATGGTTATTAGACTAGCCACAACAGAGAGTAACATACACTAGTAACATATACATATCCGTAGACTATGTTACTATTTTTATAGTGGGTAGTAACTTAACTGTGGTAACATGCAAAGATTCATTTATTAGGTTATAGACTCATATTGTATTGGAAGAGGAGTTCTCCGGCATAAAAGCTGGCTGGGTGGTCCGCCGAAACCGCCGGATAGAAGCAAGGCAATGATCTCCTACACCACCCTCGATGATCCAGGCCCCTATAGCCTAGCTCTTGGATGGAGAAGCTCCAAGCCGGTGCATCGTTCAGCAACTCGCCGCTCCAACTCAGCCCGTCGAGGAGCGGCTAGTTGCTCCAGGCCTGCACGCGAGGGAGCACGGCAGCACGGGCAACGTGGCTGCCATGGACGCCGTCGTGTCGTACTGCTGCTCCCATGCCCGGAACCGCGCCATCCGCTCTCAACGTACATGTAACCTGTAACCGCGCCCTGTCCACGGAGAAAGAAGTCGGCTTCACGGAGATGGACGAAACGGTGGCCAACACATCCGACGGAGAAAAAAGCCATCATCGAGGAGAAGTAGAACACGGTAGGCCGCCCCTGCTTGGTTCCCATCAGCGGCGAATCCAAGGGGCAGGCTTGGATGGACTCAAGCCTGCCCTCCGAAATTAAAATCCAGCCTATCCCAGCCCATCTCAGCCCAGTTTCAGCCCATCATAACCCAGTTTCAGCCTGTGTACTGAAGTTGAGCCTGCCCTTCAATTTCATCCTAGATTCGCTACTGGTTCCCATGTAGGCCACCATCGAAGCAGCGCCGGCATACACAATCGGATATCCGCTGACGCCGGCCATAGACTAGTTTTACCTTAGTCCGGTATAGTTTTTAGTTAAAAATGTTTAAAATATATTGGATGTTATCTAGTTTATATGAAATCTGCCGTCCTTGCATAATTTTTGTCGGATTGATTTAAAATGTTGTTGAAATGTATGCGGGAGGCGTTGGATAGCTGCCCCGCAACCGTGTCCACGGATGCGAGAGGAATTTTGCAGTCGCCCTCGGAGATGCCATTAAGCCCATGATTTGCATAGTTTGAAGAGAGCCATGCGTGTAAGAAACGATCGGCGTGCCAGTCGCTGAGCTAAATCTTGACGATAAATGACAAGTTCGAGATCGAGAGAAAACAACAGCATGCACCCAAAAGTCTAAGAGTACATTACGCAACAGTGGGACATGACACTGCCTGGCGGTGACGTCACCGGGCGTGCGTGACTTTGGCAAGCTTGGCGCCGCCGTCCGGCACCTCCAGCCGCAGCTCCTCGACCAGCTTGTCGAGGTTCTCGTACGCCGACCCCCCGGGCGCCGTCGCCGCCTCGGCACGAGCCTTCCACTCAGCGGCGCGGCGCCTCATCTCCTCGCCCTTCTCCCCTCCGCCCATGAGCTCCTCGATGTGCGCCACGACCTGCTCTCGCCGCAGCTGCTCGTCCAGGCGCAGCCCGACGCCCCACTCCCCGCACACGTATCGGCTGTTGATGTACTGGTCCGCGAACCCCGGCGCGCAGATCATCGGCACACCCGCCCAGATGCTCTCCGTCGTCGAGTTCCACCCGCTGTGCGTCAGGAAGCCCCCCACGGCGCGGTGCCGCAGCACCTGCTCCTGCGCGCACCACTCGGCGATGAAGCGCCGGCCCTTGGTCTCCGCGAGGAAGTCGGCCGGCAGGGCCTCCATGCCGCGGTCGCCGGCGACAAGCCCGGGGCGCACGACCCAGAGGAACGGGCGGTTGCTGGCGGCGAGGCCCCACGCGAACTCCGCCAGCTGGTCCAGCGACAGCACCGCCAGGCTCCCGAAGCTGACGTACAGCACCGACCCCGCCGCCGGTTGCGCGTCCAGCCACGCCATGCACGCCGCGTCCTCCTCCCACAGGCTCAGCCCGGACGCGCCGTGGTCGACGCGGCGGTGCATGGCGGCAGCGAGCGGCCCGATGGTGTACACGCGCGGGAACTCGTCCCGGAGCGCGCCCAGGACGTCTGGCTCGAGCTCGTCGAACGTGTTGAGGATGAGGCCCTGCGCCCTGGCGCAGCTGTTGGCCTCCTCCTCCTCCACGCGCAGGCCGAACCCGTTTGGCTCCACCGTCCGGACGAAGCTGGAGATGTCGCCGAGCCGCACCGTCGGCATCCCGGCGATCCAGTCGATCGGCGTGTCCAGGTACCCGTTGGTCAAGTAGCTCTCATCTGCAGAGCCAAGAAACAGACACGGATTGAACATTTGCATCGATCCATATACACCAGTGCGACACATGCAGCATCCATGTGCGCTCATGCAGCGATCATCAAGCATGACGAGCGCGGGCGATGGGCCGATCGTTCAGATAGGTGTACCTTTGAGCGGCGTGTAGCCTCTCTGTGTGAGCTGGCGCAGCCGGAGCGTGCAGACGAAGCCGACGGCGCTGGTGCCCCAGATGACGAAGGACGGCACGCCGAGCTCCTCCGCGACGCCGAGCACGAAGCTGGCGAGGCCGCTGAGCACGACGCAGGTGACGGGCGGCACGCCCTCTTGCTCCCCGAGTCGGCGCGCCAGGTCCACCAGCGGCGGGCCGCAGCTCCTCCGCAGCGACAGGTAGAGCCTCACCGTCTTGTCTGGCGAGGCGCGGTCGGCGTCGTCCAGCCCGTCGGGCACGGACTCGAACCGGAATCCGTCCCGGCCGGCGAGCCGCGCGCCGCCCGTCCGCAGCAGGCGCTCGTGGTTGTGCTCGGTGTTGACGAAGGTGACGTGCACCCCGCGCGAGTGCAGCAGCTCCGCCAGCTTCAGCGTCGGGTTGATGTGGCCCGAGCACGGGAACGGGAACATCATCGCGTGCGCCCTCCTCTCCTCCGCCATGGCCGCTCCCATCGGTCTGTCCTGCCTCTGCCACCACTAGCTCTAGCTCCTGCTCACTCGATCGCACTGCGCCACAAGTACAAACACATCCTCCAAATGAGCGCGCTGTGACGGGCTAGCTAAATAGGCGAGCTGGCTAGCTGGTCATCGTCGTCGTCGTCGTCGCGGCTTTCGAAGCGGATATGTGTGTGATGTTACCTTGGATTTGGTCACGGCGCATATATTCACGGTCTGCGAGACAAGATCGTGTCCTCCGGAACAAAATCTCCCCGGCTCCTGGTGGGAAGATCTCCCGCGCGCGCCACACGTGACCGGGCAAAGCCGGTCGGGCTGCCCTTCCCTGGCCTCACCCTCCTTCCCCTCGCTGTCGAGCTCGAGCTGACCGACGACGACTAGCTACACAAGTATACTCTGACAGAGAAACTGATAAGTGTACAAAAACAAAAGCAAAACCAATACAGCTACATGGCGTAGAGCCGTATCCACTATCCAGTATCCTTTGGAGCCCTGGACACGTGATCCGCTCTGACGGCCGGCTTGGCGCGGCGTGGCTGGCCGCGGAATAACAAAACGTATTCGCCATCCCGTTCTCTCCCGCCCCCGAGATTCACCGGATCCAGGTAGCCCAATCGCCCCGCTGACACGGCCGCCGCGATCGAGGCGTGGGATATGTTTACGGCAGCCGGAGCCGGAGCTTTCCGGGGAGCAGGAAACGATGACCGCGACCATTGTTTTCCCATTTTCATATGACTTGATTGAAGCACTTGTCTATTCTTCCGAGCATCGGGTCGATGGGGCCGCGGGGAAAAGGGCCATGCCGGGGGCTTTTATATGGGAGCTACGGGATGAGATGGCGATCCCTGCAACTGAGAAGCCCCGGGAAATCTTTCGGGGATCGGATGGGTTGTTCGCTTCTGGGACTGCAGGGCGTTCTTGTTTTTGTTCCATCCCATTGCTGATGAGTGATGAGTGCGCGGCGCGATCAATCGTGGATGCTCCTCTTCCTTGGTCTACAGTCTAGCAAAAGCACATCACTGTATTCTCATTGTATATCCGTAGAAAGATTGAAAGCTGTCTTTCTAAGATGGCGCCGGGAACTTTCGAAAGTCATGATATCGGATCGCCCTATTACGTCTTGGGATACGGAAATTGGAAAAATGTGCCAATCTGTTTTTCTTTTCAGCTTCCCTAGAGTTAATTGCATGAAACTATCATATTTCGGCACGTCGTAACGAATTGGTATCACTAGTCACATTTTTTGCAAGTCAGTACCAACTCTCATCCTAAGTGTTGCAAAACGGTCTGATGCCTGTATAAGCACGTATTGACCGTGTATCTGACCGAGCGGTCCCACCTGTCAGGTGACATGCTGGTCAACCCGCGCACACTGCTCCGCTGACTAGGACGAAGCCAGCTCGGTCGTTCTTGGCTCTGTCGAACCGGTTCCAACATGACGAACCCTAGCTCCCATTCCCCCATCTCTTTCCCCTTGCAGCGTGGCTCTCTGGCGATGGCAGCGGCGGTGACGGTGGTTGTAGCAGTGGTAGTGGTGTGGGCGGCTACGAAGACCTTCCCGGCCTCGGGAGTGATGAGCACGTAGGTCTCGACAGCGGCGGCTCCAGTTCATTTTACTCGAGCGACGATGAGGATTTGGAGGAGGCGCCGCTGTCCATGGAGCGGCGGGTGAGGCTGGCAGAGATTTGGGTGGCCAACCCTACCACTAGCCATCACTGGACCAGTGGAGTTGGTGGCGTGCTGCAAGTCCCTCTCCTCTCTTCTTTCTGCCTAGTTCAAATTGGGAGCTAGGGTTAGTTTTACTGGAATTTTCAATTTTGCTATCAATTGTAGTTTGGATGACGCTGTTTGGGATGTTAGGATGCACTTTGATGCTTAACATAATTTGGACAAGAGGATATGCAACTCAGATGTAACATTTCAAAATCTATATGCACTGTTGCAAACACAAGGATTTTCTTTCTCTCATGAACTGTACCACATGAAGAATTTAGGCATAGGAGAGGAGAGAGAGAGCATGGCTTAGAATTGATTGTCACAAGCATCAAATTGCAGAAACTAAAGAAGGACTATGAGCATACTTTAGTTCTTAATTTGTTAGCGAGGGCAACAACAACACCTTTTAGTAAAGTATGTCACATAGAAGAAGAATTAGCAACAATATTGTATGAACCACCTGTTGTGTATGATCTCAGTGATCCTGCTGTGCTTGTTGTTGATGAAGAAGGTGTTGTTTTTCAGAGTCAGTGCAGGGGTGGTACTACTCAACCTACTGCTATGTGCACACATGAGAGCAGAAATTTCAGTAAGGGGAAGCTCAAAGCTGTAATGAAGGAAGAACCACTGCTAGAGGAGGCACATAATAGTAGTGATGATTCTGGGGCTGCATATGATAGTGATAACAAACCTTTTTGTATGGAGAAGTACAAGATTTCTGAAGACACAGAGATAATACAGGGGAATTGAGGGAGTCCTGGATTAGGGGGTCTCCGGACAGCCGGACTATATCCTTTGACCGGACTGTTGGACTATGAAGATATAAGATTGAAGACTTCGTCCCGTGTCCGGATGGGACTCTACTTGGCGTGGAAGGCAAGCTAGGCAATACGGATATGTATATTTCCTCCTTTGTAATCGACCTTGTGTAACCCTAGCCCCCTCCGGTGTCTATATAAACCGGAGGGTTTTAGTCCGTAGGACAACATACAATCATACCATAGGCTAGCTTCTAGGGTTTAGCCTCTCCGACCTCGTGGTAGATCAACTCTTGTACTACTCATATTATCAAGAATAAATCAAGCAGGACGTAGGGTTTTTACCTCCATCAAGAAGGCCCGAACCTGGGTAAAACATCGTGTCCCCTGCCTCCTGTTACCATCCGCCTTGGACGCACAGTTCGGGACCCCCTACCCGAGATCCGCCGGTTTTGACACCGACATTGGTGCTTTCATTGAGAGTTCCTCTGTGTCGTCGTCATTAGGCTGGATGGCTCATTCGATCATCGATAGCGATGCAGTTCAGGGTGAGACTTTTGTCCCCAGACAGATCTTTGTGTTCGGCAGCTTCGCACTGCGGGCCAACTCGCTTGGCCATCTGGAGCAGATCAAGAGTTACGCCCCTGGCCACCAGGTCAGGTTTGGAAGCTTAAACTACACGGTCGATATCCGCGGAGACTTGATCTTCGATGGATTCGAGCCCCTGCCTAGTGCGCCACACGGTCACGAGGAGCATGATTTAGCTCTGCCATTGGACTGTGCTCAGGAGATCGCGCCGGCAGCCACTCCGACCCTCAATTTGGAGCCAGATGCGCCGTCCATGGACGGGTGGATAGACCCCGCCACAGAGGCCGCACTCTCATCGGCGATCGAGCCGAGTATCGACCTTACCCTTCACGGGAGCCGTGACGCCGAACTACCAGATTCTTCTGAGGCCATGGACTCCGAACCGCCTGTGCCCATGCCTATCGAATCTGACTGGGCGCCGATCATGGAGTTTACCTCCGCGGATATTTTTCAGCACTCGCCCTTCGGCGACATATTGAACTCATTAAGGTCTCTCTCCTTGTCAGGAGAGTCCTGGCCGAACTATGTTCGGCAGGATTGGGATGCGGATGACAAAGAAATTTGCCGCCCACCCACCACCCACTTAGTAGCCACTGTCGACGACTTAACCGACATGCTTGACTTTGACTCCGAAGATATCGACGGTATGGACGACGATGCGGGAGACGAAGAGGAACCACTGCCCACAATGCGAAACACCCATTTGGTACCAATGATGTTGTGGTTGTTGTCGGGCTTCTCGACCAATGTCCACACTTGATTTCTCAAAGTTGTGAGCTCTTCATGCATAGCGTTTATCCAATCCGGATCCTCCAATGCTTCTTCAACCTTCATAGGTTCAATGCTAGAGATGAATGAGTAATGTTCACAAAAGTTAGCTAAACGAGTTTTAGAGCGAGTGATTCTCCTGGTTTGGATATCATTGTAGATTTGCTCGACGGGATGATCTTTGGCAATTCTTGCTCGAACTCGTGAAAGCTTTTGCTTGGGTCAGGGTGGAACATCCTCTTCATATTGTTCTTCTTCTTGGCCTTCTTCATTGTTGACGTTGTCGTTCTCTTGTCGTGGTGGAGAAGGAGGTTGTTGATGTTCATCTTGGTGCGCTCCCTCGTTTTCTTCATCTTGGCGTGTCCCACTTGTGGATGCTTCCGTATCAACTCTTGGTTCACCTTGTCATGAGGTAGAAGCTTACACTTGTACGGACGAGGCACTCTCCTTCACTTTCGTTGGACGAATCTTGCCAATGGACAAGTCTTGAATTGCTTCCGAAGGGTCTTTGTCTCCTACATCAATTGGCAATTGCTCTACTTGCGAGCCGTTAGATTCATCAAACTTCACATATACCGTCTCTTCAACCTTTAGAGTGAAATTGTTGTAGACACGGTAAGTGTGAGAGTTTGAGCCATAACCAAGTAGGAAACCTTCATGAGATTTAGGAGCAAATTTAGAACAACGATTCTTATCAAGAATGTAGCACTTTGAGCCGAATACTCGAAAGTATCCAACTTGGGGTTTGTTACGGGTGAGGAGCTCGTATGCCGTCTTGCCGAGTAGCTTGTGAAGATACAAGCGATTTATTGCATGACAAGTTGTCTCAACCGCTTCCGCCCAAAAGTGCTTTGGCGTTTTGTACTCATCAAGCATCGTTCTTGCCATCTCGATAAGAGTCCGGTTCTTCCTTTCAACAACTCCATTTTGTTGAGGTGTGTACGTAGCCGAGAACTTGTGTGAAATCCCTTGTTCGTCAAGAAAGGTGTCCACATTTGCGTTCTTGAACTCCATTCCGTTGTCACTCCGAACCTTCTTGATCTTCACTTCAAAGTGATTTTGGGCCTTCCTAGCGAAGTTTTTGAAGATCTTTTGGACCTGCGATTTGTCATCAAGAAAGAACACCCACGTAAATCTTGAAAAATCATCAACTATGACTAGACCAAA